AATTTTAAAAACATATGAGAAAAGAACAAAAAAAATGGAGTTCGTCGAAATCTGAGGACGAGAGAGTCTTCACTGTACTCAAATTATTTTTCAGCAATTAAATGTAAGTTAAGACTTAAATACACAAGGTGATAGAGGATTCCAGGTGCTATCAGGATATATAATTACTTTCCTTAAAATATAGTTTTATATTGGCGACATTATCCTATTGATCGAAACTCTCAGAACCTATATGCCAATGTAATATATCAGGTGAGATCTTCCTTATTGAACAATTATACCATCGTTTGTCTACAATTAAAGACAAATCAAGATTTTTAGGTGATCTCCGCACTTGTCAACAGCAACAAGAGAGATCAATAAATGGAGTGAAGAAAGTTTTTGTAAAAATCAACATATGTGTCGAAATATTGTTTGATGGCAAAATAAAAAAGAAACTTTCTCACGAAAAATTGTATTAGATTTCAATCCTATACTAAATAATACTGGCCGACGACAATTAGCCAGCCTTTGAGCCAAATGTTGCCACTGTTTACGTGACAATTTTGAATCACATTGATAGAGACGAACTTTGGACTATTTTCAATAAACAAAATTCATCACTGCCAGAATTGAAATATTAATTGCGTTGTTCAAATAATTACTAACCTTTTAAAGTACATTTTACTAATACATATAACTAAAATTTATCGTTACGATTTATTCTTTACATCTGTTAGGTTGCGCCACATGTTGGTTTTTTTTATGGTTCTTTTTTTTACCAATCACATCCGATGGCTCGAATGAACGCAACATACTCTTTCTTTTTCTTTTTCTTTCTACCCGCCTACACGTTTGGAAATTTCCAACTTGAAAAAGTAACGCGTGCGCCAGAATAAATAGCCTCCTCAGTATTTTGTCTCTAACACTTTTTTTCTTTCATCCAAAAGATGTGATTTTATCATAGAAAGATGCATCGTGAAATTCTTTTGTATGAGATGTCGAATTGTTTTCAGCATTCCAAACTTCGCAATGCATTTCATAGTCCAATGAAATTCAAATAGCATCTAGGGTAGATTCGATTCTTCCATTTTTATGCTTCAAGAAATAGTTAATGAGATTAGTTGAATAATTTAAATCTACTCGAAACTTCCAAGCAACAAAAAATTATATATTTATATATTAGATTTCTTTCAGATTTTACCTACTATACAACTAATATACAATGTCAACCTTATTCAGAGCGCCAACTGATGTTCGAAGTGGTCCACCTCATAAATTCGAATCCATGGATGCTTCATCAAAATGGTGTGTTAGGAAGAAAGAAGATTCACCAACTTTGGCTAGTATCCGCCATCGAATTCAATCACTAGCTCAATTAACAAAAAGACTAGGCGTTTACACTGTATGCTATATGTCTGCCGCCGGATTTGAATATACAGGTAATGGAGATACAGCTCGTTGCAAGGACTGTGGACTTGAGGTATCTAACTGGAGATCAGATATGAAGCCATTTACTATTCATTCGAAACAGAGACCTGATTGTCCATTCGTCTGCACTATAATACCATCTTCGTTATCAAATGTATGCGCCTCTTTTGTTCCGCCAACAACTGCTGTTGAAAAGATATCGATGCCAAATGAACAAGAAAATCCTTCTAAACGTCGAAAAATTGAAACAATGGATTCGGGATCTGTCTCAAACACTTTACTTGAAACAAGTTTACTTCAACAAGTGCGAAGACGTACTTTTTCTCATTGGCCACATCCTACTATTCCATCAAGTGCACAAATGATGGAAGCTGGATTTTTTAATTGCAATGTTGATGATCGAGTAATATGCATGTATTGTAATCTTATTTGTCAACAATGGACACCAAATACAGATGATCCATGTGAAGTGCATAAAACGCTTTCACCTAATTGTATATATGTCAAAGCCAAACTGATACGTCCTTCAGTTTCATCTCTAATAATCGTCAATGAAGGTGCAACAGAT